GCTCTGCCGAAACAGAGAAAGAAAACTGGCCTCACGAGCAACCTCCCCCCAGAAAGAGAAAACATTTTATTCTAACTCCAAGTACCACCTCTTTCCACTCTAGAAAGCAGAAACAGACTCTCCGACAACCTTTCCCACACAAATTCAGGCAGCTGCTGCTGGCAATTGAAGGTAGGAAACAAATCAATAACTGACAGTCAAGGTCTCACAACTGCTCTATTGGAAAATCGCTCCATCCGTTCCCGACCTTCAGATATGATTAAGTGCCACCTTCCGAGGCACTGCGGGGTCATTTCTTCACAGCAAGCGGACCAATAAACCAAACGACCTCTGAAAGAATCATTAGTTCAAATTCTAAAGGGTTCCACACACCAAAAAAAAAAAAAAAAGGAGAAGACTAGAATTATGGCAGACCTTAATAAAGACAAGCTTTGCTGCTGGCCTGCGAACCGCAGAACAAGCAACACGTGGCTGTGATTACACGCTGGCCTCACCACCCGCGAGGGCTGCAGCCAAAAGGGTGTAACAACCAGCTGTGAGCTTCTCGTGCGGCAGCTGGAGATCCTTGCCCTCTGACAGGAACCTTCTCGCACCACACAAACCTCACTACAGCGTTTCAAAAGGGGACACGGTTCACGCATCAGGCATCGGTGAAGCCGGAGGAATCTCGCCCAGAGAAAAGTAACACCGGTGGAGCCACCCCAGTCCCGTGGGCACCAAAACCTCTGGGAGGGGGACAATGGCAGCCAAGACGCATCTCCTTCCTGTCCAGAGTTTTATGTAATTGCTGCAGTTAAACAAAAACATCAGCTTTTAAATAACAGTGGATGCTCCGCAGCCACCCGACTCACAGCCCTCTACCAGTTCCTCTATTTTCTTTTTCCGTTTGTCCAATCTTTCAGTATAAAATTACCCAGTCCCTATTTTTAATCATTTCAGCTTGTCCCAAGCTGCGTCCCACTACCTGATACAGCTCACATCACCGCAGCGATGACAGAAATCCACTGAGGTTTGCAGCCAGCCTTTATAATGACATTGTCAATCTGTAATTCCCTCTCCAACGCAGAGCTGCCCACAGGCTGCACCCCAGACGTACAACTCGCTTCCCTCCGTCATTTCATTTACTGTTCAGCAAAGTACCTCAAACTTGACTCCGGTCAGCCTTTACCACAGGCAGCGTTACACCCTCCCAGGGACAAACCCGACACTTTTCAACCCACCTCGAGGCAGGGCTTGGCAGTTTCCCACACAGCCGCGCAAGGCGGATCCCACAGCCACGGATACCTTATTCTCGCTGGTGGATTTTCCAGTCAGGCTGGGAGACTTAGTCCTGGGGCTGGGCCATTCCTCCCCGATCAGAGACCTTCGCAGAGAGACCTTG